AGCTATTTCCTCTTCAAATTAGTGACAGGATAAATAAGCTTTGGAAATTGGCTGTGATGTAAAATTAAAATATTACTTAATATTGAAATAAACAGGATATGGACAAAACAATTTTCTTTAAGTTTGGTCCCTTTTCTTACTGTATTGTCAAAGAAATTATTGTCCCCCAACATTTCAGTATAGTTTTATATGTTTTAAGTTACGTATTAATGATAATGTAATTGTTCTGCTTAAAAATGATTTAAGAAGCTATATTATTTGAAATGCATGTTCAGAAGGATTGATAGATAATATTATTAATAGCATTATTGTTATCAGTATATTTTTCTTGTTGGGTTCTATGGCTCAAAAATGAAATGTTACTGTTCAGCCATTGCACAGCAAGTTCCCCCACCCTTACAAGTGGGTGCTGAGGTGCTAGTGGAGAGCAGCCATGGGCAATATCAGGAAAATTGATGAAATGTAACAGTTTGCAAGGATGGGCTCTCCCAATTTGCTACATGAAATGTTGCAGCCGTGTTCTGGTTTGAATTTAAACATTTAAGAACTCCTTAAGTTGGCAAATGGAATGTAACTCAGTACGTATTTCCTCTTGCTTGCTTTATTTAATTAATTTCTGTCCCAGAGCAGGGTCACCTAATGAAATAGAAACTTGTTGCATGCTGCTATTGTACCTATATGTGTGTGTGTACACACACACACACACACACACACACACACACACACAGTGTGTATATATATTATTGTGACCAACACTAAAATTCTCAACATAGTAGTACCTAACTGTTCTTGCAAACAGCACAATCAATACTGTCTGCACCTCCTCACAAGCCCTCCCTACCAAAAGCATCAACAAAGAAATGAGCTTTTAACTGGTAGCTAAAACCAAAGAAAATTGGTGTCTGTCACATTTGAGGTGGGTGGAAGGGAAGGAATTTCAAAACTCAAGTGCCAGCACAGAAAGGCCCCTGCTTGCTTGCTTGCTTGCTTGCTTGCTTGCTCGTTTGTTTTTGGTTGTTTGTTATGTATAAGCTTATATTGGTAGGATCTGTCTTACATTGAGTCAGTCCATTGGTCCATCTAACTCAGTATTTGCCTGTGCTTTCTAGCAGTGGGTCTCCAGGTATCTTCACCGTCTTACCTGGAGATGCCAGGGACTGATGCATGCAAATCAGATGGTCTCCCACTCAGCTCTGACTCTTCCCTCACTTAGATTTTGATTAATATAACTTATGCCTTTAATGTATGGATGCTTACAAGTCTAGGGGCCATAATAACGTTCAAGACAATACAACATACAAAACTGTACTACCAGGATGAACAGACGGGACACTGGTCTTCAGTTGGTGGACTAGGACTTACTGGGTTGCAACAATATAGCCATATTCTAGGATGACCATATGTCTGGATTTTCCTGGACATTACTGGGATTTCAAAGTCGGGGGGGGGGGATTTCCGAAAGGCAGTGCTTTGTCCTGGATCTTAGGAGTCAATTTAAAAATCACATTTTTTTGGCTCAAAAAACTCAACAACCTAGGGGTTTGTCTAAAGTGCAGTTATGCCGCTGATTTTCAACATAATTGTAATAAATTAGGGATCAGAATAATGCTAGCAGTGTCTTGCAGCTTTAATACAGAATTACCTGCAAATAATTAAGTAAACATCTCTTACTGTAATTTCCTATACTTGTCTACTCAGAAATAAGCCTCTTTGAGTTTGCTTCTGTTTAACTAAAAAATAATGTGTGTAGGTGGTTCCCTGTGTGGACAATTCACCTAGAGGGGTCGGGTCTAAAAGCATGTGTGTGTATGACAGAGACAGAGAGAGCACTCTCTCTTGCCTATTCACCAGCTTCTAACAGTTTCTGTCTAGCTGGTGGAGCCTGTAGGGGGGAGCCACAGTTTATGCAAAATCTGCCTTGTGAAGGCAGATTGATCATCCTGCTAATGCTCTGCTTATATATTTCTAAGTAATGCAAATATTACAAATACACCATAAACCTCCAGTGCCCTTCTCATCCAAATCCCTGGTGTTCTGCCTCTTGAACACCTCGTATCTTGGAACTAGGGAGCACGTGACAATACTTAAAAGTAGCTGGGCAGGCTAATGTATTTATCTGTCATGGATGAAAAATACTATCCAGGTTAAACGAGAAAAGCCAAGAAATCACTTTTCCCAGTACCATTTTCTGTTCCTGGAAAGTGGGAAGAGCCACTGAGCTATGCCTCCCTAGGACTCATCATTGTCCTTGTTTCTGCAGTGGTTTACAGGCCTTGAAAGCTCATACTTAACTACATAAAAGGTGGTTGGGATATCACCAAAGAACTGCTCTTGTGTTGCATCAGGACAGGATGCCATTGGTTCTATAACTGGGGCTTGCTTTTTATGACAGAGTGCTACTGGTAAGGGGTAATATAAGGAATTAAAGGAAGGACCCTTTATTTCTTTTGGCATGAGACCTTCGTTTGTTGCTGTTGAAAGGCCTGGATAGTTCAGTTGGTTAGAGCGTGTTGCTGATAACACCAAAGTTGCAGGTTCAATGCCCGTATGGGACAGCTGCATATTCCTGTGTTGTGGGGCATTGGACTAGATGATCCTTAGGGTCACTCCCAACTCTTAAAATTTTATGATTCTATGAAAGGCTATGGAAAATATTTCATATCTGAATTCAGCACTTCAGATATTGGACAGCAAAAAAGGCATCTCTTTCTTTGCCAGAAACTTTAGCTTGTGACTTGTTGGGAATAGGCCCTCTTTTGAAATCTTTGGGTAGATCTGTATAGCTAGACATGCAAGGCACAGAACTCAAACTGAAATAAGAATATGTGTCACATTGTAGCCTAAAAGATTTGACCACTAGATGGCTAACTCCTTAAATTGCTCTCTAGCAAAACTGTTGAGTAGATCTACAAGATTTCACCTTCCAACTTCTTTTCCACCCTCCCATTTCTTTTTCTTGTTTCTTTCCAGGGAGACAACTCCAGTAATCTGTTTATGGAATAATTAGACTGCTGAGAAGCTTTGTTAATATGAACACAGGACAAATAAAGTAGTGCATAAGGATGGCTCTTTGCCAAGCTTGAGCCATTACTGCTTTGCCAGTGATTCTTCTGTTCCTTTGGCAGAGTGCTTGATTGAAATTACAGTTGTCTTACCCACTGATTATCTTGGTAAAAGAAAAACAAATCTGTCTAGCCATATCTTACAGGATTCCATAAAAGCCAGAAGATAACTGTCTTTTGGACCATTGTTTTGAGCAGAAATTGTATTCGCTAGTAGGCATTGATGGCAATCGCACTAGGGTTTTAAGAGGGAGGAAGTAAATTGCTCAGCCAAAACTGTCAGCCAGGCTTTCTAAATGGGCTGTCTTAGTCAATATGGTAGGCAAATGTGCTAAAAAGCTTGGAGTCCTCATAATCTGAAGTTTTAAGAATTGGTCAACATTTACCAAGAACAGTGTAAGAATTTCTTTAAAAATAAGTGTTTGCACGCATGCATTCAATACAGTATATGGTACTAAGACTGTATTCTTGTAAATTAGTTACACTGAGTTCAGTGAGACTTATTCCAAGTAAAGGTGCTTATGAAATGCAACCTTAATATATTCTCAGTGCACTCAAGAAATATATATTTCTATCATTCTTTTTTTTACATCTGTTAGCTAACACATGAAAGAGGATGTGAGCCAGATTGGATTTGAGTGTGTGAAATTTGGTCTCTTGGATGTCCTGAGTTTCATTCGCTTCTGAAAAATCAGGTGCATGAAAATATTGAAAATCAAGTAACCTGTTTTACTGAAGGTTTAGGCACATAGAATTCTAGAGGAGTGGACTCTCTTTACAGCTCCTTTTCTCTTCCTTCTTCCCATCCCACCCCTGTTTTCTTTGCCAACACTTACCATAAGTGACCTAGACCTATCTTCCACCTTCTTCATCTGTGTGTTTGCCAAAATATCATAGGAACACTTTACCTGATTATTAGTTATATTAGATGGGGATATGTAAATAAAGTACGTCTTGTATGTTTAAAGGCAGGCATTTTGAAAAACAAACGATTGCTTGCTTCATTGTGACATCTGTCTCAGAAAACCAAGTTTCTTGGAAAACAATAGCCCCTAATGAGAATTTATTTACAGAGCAGATGCCAGATATTTACAGAGCAATAATTAATCTTGCCACGTCACTTCTTTTCTAGAATAGGGCTCTTCTTCTTCTTCTTCTAGAATAGGGATGTGGCCCTGCAGATGTTGCTGGGCTATAAGTCCCATCCTCTCTCCTGCTGGCCGATGCTGATGGGAATTGGAATCCAACATCTGGAGGATCACAAGTTTCCTACCACTATTTTAGAGCTTTATGTTTGAAAAGAACAATGAAATTTCACTCAGTTCATATAAATCACAAGCCCCAGATCCCTGGAAGTGTTCCAGTAGTATTTAACTGGAAAATTAAGTGGATTGTCTTATGTTAACATGTATTAAATTTTAAAATATATTGGAGTTTAAGATGCATTTTAGCTCCACAGCAATACCCCTGTGAGATAGGTTATGCAGTTGGGACAGTATAATTTACCCAAGAATTCAAGTGAGCTCACATCTGTATATGTGTTTTTCTACAGTTATATCCTGCCTATCTATCTTCTGTCAGTGAAATAAAGGTAGCATAAAAAGAGTTCCCTGGTAGTGTCTCAACCAGGCACTGAGGAGTCCAGACTGTCTTAGCTTCAGCACGGTTGCCGTATTCTGTGCCTTGATACAATATCCATGCTGTCCCTTTTATTTTGAGGTTTGTGATCTGTGTTTCCCTTCCCTAGACATTAAGACTGATCTGCACTACCACAACAGTGCAGAGGAAAAATGTTGCCGCTTCAGGACCTGAAAAGTACACAGAAGCTTTTATCAAAAAACAGACTGAAGATTTCAACATAGGAAAGAGACATTTAGCCAACATGATGGGAGAAGATCCAGAAACTTTTACCCAAGAGGATATTGATGTAAGTATGGTTGCTCAGTTGGAGAAGTAATTTACTGCAGGGTTTCAGAATTGAAAGCTCTTTGCTTCAGCATGAGCCCCTCAGCTCTCCGTGAATTTTAATCGAACTGTCAGCGTACAAGCGAATGCTACTATACATAGAAAACATTGCAACTGTGGCTCTGAATAGAGATTCTACCCCTACTACTGTGCGAGGTCAGACATCACACTGCAGAACTCTATACTATACCTTGCTAAAGCACAGCAGGTTCTTTTTAAAACTACTAATGGATAATCCCCTTGATCTGAGGTCGTAAGAACCACTATCAAGGTTTATATAGCATTTGGAAGCATTTACCCGTAATTTGACCTGCTGGGTAGACTTATGCTGGGGTTTCATGTATGATACTATAACAGCTAGCATTGCAAGTGACCTTTTTCAACACTTAGGGCCAACACTTGGGTTGCAACTCTGCATGCTTATTTTGGAGCAAGACCTACAGGAGGTTATTCAGAGTAAACATGCCTGTTCCGCTTTTGATTTGTGACTTCAAGTACATATTTGACATTGAGCTTTAATTCTTTCTGGTTGCCCCTGTGTTAGGTGCTTTGCTGATCAAATAAAATAAAAAATCATTGGAACTAATATTTCCTTCTTCCCTCCAATCTAATCTCTCCCACCCCACCACATTCTACCCTGTGTTATTTTTTGATGGTATGGCACAAAATGTCAGTAGTTGTGAGCCATTGAGGTTTAATGTAACTTCCACATAAGGAAGCAGAATGTCTCTGAATATTGGGTGCTGCGACGAGCAAGATGGAAGCACATTGACTTACCTACAAATGTTGAAAAGCAGGCTGTGTAGGTGGCCATGGTTGAAAACAAAATATTGCACAACTATTCTGATCTAGCAATGCAATTTTAATTCTCCTTGTTGTTTCAGTTTTTAAAAATAGTCTTATCTTCCCTCTTGGTCCTATCCTTTTTCCTGATTCTTTCCAGAACGGCACATGCACCTTGCTGGTTGGTTCTACAGTGTACAGCCAAAAGCTCTTGTGCTACTGGGACAAAGGGAGAGATTTATAATATGCCACCCCCCAGTACAAATTTATTTATTAGACTGGTTCAAGTTTTGACCTCCACATTGCATGCCTCAGCATGAAGCCATGTTTATATGGAGTTGCATTGATCTCTGAGCAGCTTTGATGTAAAGGCACACACTAGAGAGTCTCTGTCAGCATTAAAAACCTTATGACAAGCAAGTCAGTTCTTTAAGCTTGAATTACTTGCATTTCCTCATGTTTATTAACTTCGTTAAGGCTAACAGACCAATTCAGTGCTTGTTGACCTCCCCTGAGATTGAAGGGAGATGGTTAAGATTTGGGGCACAAGCTCATGGCACAGATTTGGCTCTGTTCAGTTTAAAATGGTGGGTGATTCTGTAAGCCCAGTGCCAAAAAATTTGGGACTCAGACTCCTGTGCCACTTCTAACAATGCCGTTGATTCAAAACACATACCGGGGCACTTTTCTCTCTGATCCTAGGTAGCAGCCAGGAGGTGTTAGTGATGTAGCCCAAACAAGTCAGTGATGACACCAACATTCTTTCTGCAGAAAGGAAGACTGGCCTGGAAATGAGGGTATAACAACTAATACGTAGGATGGAGAAGCTTTGATTTACACTAGCCAAGGGCAGTTACTCCGATTCATCCTGCAGTAGGAAATTTCAGCATCCTGGACAAAGTGATTGCCAGGCATCCCTATCTGAATGCTGGGACTGGTAAAAATCAAAACAGAAAGTGTTACTTTCCCTTGTGTATTTGCAAAAACAGGGGGCGAAGTAGTGGGCAAGAATGGGGCAGTTGAACCCATTCCTTGCCTGCTTTCTTCCCTCAGACCCCTAACTTGGTTGCCTGCCTCTACTTCCCACCTTTGTAAGGGATAAGTTCTGATCTTGAAATCAGGACAAGGAAAAAGCATTTGGGGAAGAGATCATTCATTCATTTTGCAGGGAGGAGGCATGGGTAGAGTATGGAACTCTTTGTCTTTTCTCTGCAAAAAATGATCTCCGCACCACACTGCTGCTTTTATATGTATTTACTAGTGCCTTTTGTTTTAGAACACAGCTTGCCTCCAAACAGTCTAGTTAGATAGACTCTTAAACTCACACATGCCAGTTCTTCCCCAGCAGTCCCTTCCAATAATATTAGATGCTTTAAGAAAAAAAAAGTCACCTGTAACTATATTGGGCCCTAATATGATGTAATCTTAAGATCCTGTACCAAACCCCAACCTTGTGGCCAAGAAACGCAGGAGGTTTTAGATACAACTTTGTGAATTAGGAGTTAGGCCCAAGTCTAGTTTATTGCAAACTACCTCCTCAAGAAAACTTTTCCTCGAGAAAAATGAGGTATATCCTGAAAAATCTCATTTTCTCCTTCTTGCAGATGTCAAGTATAAGACCATTTCAACACGTTATCTTTTTTTTAAAAAGAGAAGACAACAAAGAACAACATTTTACTTAGCAAAGCATAGGACTTGTAATGCTTGTTCAAATAACATCAGGTGTTGTAAATACTTAGGCTGTATAACAGTGTCTGCTATGCATAATTAAATTTCTGTTATAAAAATATAAAAGCCGCTTAGCACTGGCAGCAGAATTATCAGGCTTTACACTTGGAATGGTAATAATTCCTTCTGATGAGTACTTATGCATCTCCTGTCGTCTACTGTTAATCAGTGTGTGTCGTACATTTCCAAAGTAGACATCCTAGGGTTCTTTTTCTTACTGGCATTTTGGATGTGTGTGTTTTGAAACAAGTCATACAGAGAAATATGTTAACGGGGTTGTCATTGCGTTCACGAGATATTTTTTTGCGCAGAGTAGTGCTTTCCTGGTGGTTTTATTTTTTAGAAATAAAAAGTTAAGCTATAAATTACAACTGTGTGTCTTGGGGAGAGGCGGGGGGACTCCAGTAAATTGATATATAACTCTGCAGAAGTCTACCAATTGCTTTTTAATTGGTATTATAGACCGTGCTCTGAAATCCGGATGTTTTATTCTCCTATGTGTGAATATGCAGTATGAAGTTTCTCTAATTGATTCGCTTTGCCCATTCCATTTGATGTATCATTTTTCACAATATTTCATAATTTGTGCTCATTTCTAATGAACAGAGTCGTTAGGACAGGCATGTCTAAGTACAACTGACAGCTAACATTAGGTGCCAGATGCAGTTTATAAAGCTATGTAGAACTGTAGAGAACAGTTTAAATAAATTAGCACCTGTACATTAGTCTCACTTGCTGGTAATTTATAAGCGAATCAGTAGAGATGACATTTAGGTAAGTCATTGATCAAGTTAACAGCTGCATACCCGCTGCCCAGCTGGGATACCTAATTAATAGAGATTGCAGTCCTGACCTAGTGCTTTTCCCTGGGTTGAGAATGTAATCCTTTTATTTTGTGATTTCATTTTTAATGTATGGTGCAAACACACCTTAGCTTTGAACAGTTGGATGATATTAACATATAACCATTCAAAAAAAGGTAGCCCAACCAGTACCCAAGCCAACTTGGAATGATATTTTATAATCCATTAAATGCAGTCACATCATCCTGTTATTTATTTTGGACCTCTGTTGAAGACTGCTTCCTTGTTCAAAGCTTGATAAAGAAAGGTGAGAGTTGTTGGTATATGTGAGCGCTAAATAAGTTTGTGGGTAGGGTAAGCCAAACGTCTGGATTGTACTGATTTGCAGACTGCCTGTAGCATTTGATGGAATCATGGAACTGTAGAGTTGGAAGGGACCACAAGGTTCATCTAGTCCAATCCCCTTTTTGCCCATTGTGGGGCTAGAACCCACAACCTAATGCATAGTGACCTAATGTCTAATGCATAAGTGTAAAACAAATGTTTTAAGAAACTAACGTCATTGACAAATCCCTTTTTCCAAGAAGCAGACAAGTAAAAAACAATCAGATTAATCAAAACTGAAAAACTGTGTTGCCATAGTTGCATACGAATCAAACTATTTTTTTTAAAAAAAAAATTGTGACTAGTATTGAATACATATGCGTTAAACATTTGGTAATTAATATTTTCAAGACACCTGTAATTTGGACTGGATGATTTCTTTCAGCTTCTTTAGTTGCTTGAACAGAATTATTTGAGTGGTAGTCAACTAAGCCGTACTCAGTGTAGGCTGTTTCAATTTGTGTAAGCTGCCTTGAGTTCCAATGTGAGGAAAAGGGGGGGATATAAATAAATAAAGTAATAAAATAAGAGAAATTACTGAACATGACTAAGTCAGGTCCATTAACAATAATAATAATAATTTTATTATTTATACTCCACCCATCTGGCTGGGTTGCCCTGCCCACATTAATGGCAGTGGGATTACTTTGAGTAAAACTTAGTTGAATGCCACACCTTTTCTTTAAAGTCTCAATTAAAAAATAAATTAGAACTTTTTGGTGGAGAAGAAATGAGAGGTGAGTCATCAGGAGTTTGTTTCTTTTTCATAGAAGGAACAGACTTAAAAGTGTTATTTGTAGAGTGATGGTATGCATTGGTCAGCTCACCAGCACTACACTAGTAGTTTCAGGTTACTTTTTGGAAAACGTGAGGCACCTGTCTGCTACTGAAGTCCCAACCTCTAATCTTGGCACAGGCACAGCGTATTTTGTCTCTTTTAGGACCCTAAGACACTTGGAGAAATACATGGGCCTCCAAAGATTTTCATCATATTAATACTGAACAACATTTGTAAAACAAAGCACCTTCTTAACTTGTGCTTGTGTGCCACAGTTTCTCTTATTTCATTCAGCATCAGGATCTTGCATTGCACCAAAGATCACAACTGAGGCTGCCCTAAGTTTAAGGAGTTAGGTGTGGTGAGCTGCTTCTGTAAAGCATGGTCTTCATATATACAGATGTCCACAAGAAATCAGGCTTTCTGCTGTGATTTTAAAAAACAAAAAAGTGTTGTGGTCTGAGGGCACCAATTGCAGTAGCTTTGCTGAAGCTAAGCTTCACCAGTGACTGGACTGCTTAAGTACCTTGGGCTTCATGACGAAACGACATGAATGAAAACATTAGAATTTTCATTGGAAGCCACATAATAAGATGAAAAGAGGTATGGATCTGTAGAACAGTAACGGGGTTGTGACTTAAGATTTCAGCATCCTAATAGCACTAATTAAAGCAGTCCTGATGTTGGCACATGCTAGAGCAAGTTTTCTTATGCTAGCGTTGCACAGTAAGTCACCTTTAGGTCGTTGTCCTTTAGAGCAGTGTTTCCCAACCGGTGTTCCGCGGCACACTAGTGTGCCGTGAGACGTTGCCTAGTGTGCCGTGGGAGGGAGGCGGGCGAGTCGGGCGGCGAGAGGCGGGGCGGCGGCGGCGAGCACACGCGGGGCGGCGAGCGAGCTCCCTCCCACATCCCATCGCCGCGAATGCAGGCTTTCGCTGAAGCCTGGAGAGCGAGAGGGGTCGGTGCGCACCGACCCCTCTTGCTCTCCAGGCTTAAGGAAGCTATCCCCCCAGCCACGCAAGCTCCCAGAGCGATGCCAAAGCTGCGCGCACCTTTGCCATCGCTCTCCAACCCGTTCGGGGGGCTGGGGTCGGGGGAAGCTCCAGCTTCCCCCGCCCGCAGCCTCGCAAGCCCCGAGAGCGATGGCGAACGTGCGCACACCATCGCCATCGCTCTCTGACCTGTTCGGGGGGCTGGGGAGGGGGGAAGCTCCGGCTTCCCCGCCCCCAGCCCACGCAAGGTCCCAGAGCGATGCGGAAGGTGCGCGCACCTTTGCCATCGCTCTCCAACCCGTTCGGAGGGCTGGGGTCGGGGGAAGCTCCAGCTTCCCCCGCCCGCAGCCTCGCAAGCCCCGAGAGCGATGGCGAACGTGCGCACACCATCGCCATCGCTCTCTGACCTGTTCGGGGGGCTGGGGAGGGGGGCCGCCCCCAGCCCACGCAAGGTCCCACAGCGATGGCGAAGGTGCGAGCACCTTCGCCATCGCTCTCCGACCCGCTCTGGGGCTGGGGACGGGAGAAGCTCCGGCTTCCCCCGCCCCCAGCCCGCGCAAGGTCCCAGAGCGATGCGGAAGGTGCGCGCACCTTCACCATCGCTCTCCGACCTGCTCTGGGGGTTGGGGACGGGAGAAGCTCCGGCTTCCCCCGCCCCCAGCCCGCGCAAGGTCCCAGAGCGATGCGGAAGGTGCGCGCACCTTCGCCGTCGCTCTCCGACCTGCTCTGGGGGTTGGGGACGGGAGAAGCTCCGGCTTCCCCGCCCCCAGCCCGCGCAAGGTCCCAGAGCGATGCGGAAGGTCGCGCACCTTCGCCGTCGCTCTCCGACCTGCTCTGGGGGTTGGGGACGGGAGAAGCTCCGGCTTCCCCCGCCCCCAGCCCGCGCAATGTCCCAGAGCGATGCGGAAGGTGCGCGCACCTTCACCATCGCTCTCCGACCTGCTCTGGGGGTTGGGGACGGGAGAAGCTCCGGCTTCCCCCGCCCCCAGCCCGCGCAAGGTCCCAGAGCGATGCGGAAGGTGCGCGCACCTTCACCATCGCTCTCCGACCTGCTCTGGGGGTTGGGGACGGGAGAAGCTCCGGCTTCCCCCGCCCCCAGCCCGCGCAATGTCCCAGAGCGATGGCGAAGGTGCGCGCACCTTTGCCATCGCTCTCCGACCCGCTCTGGGGGTTGGGGACGGGAGAAGCTCCGGCTTCCCCCGCCCCCAGCCCGCGCAAGGTCCCAGAGCGATGGCGAAGGTGCGCACACCTTCGCCATCGCTCTCTGACCTGCTCTGGCGGCTGGGGGCGGGGGAAGCTCGGGCTTCCACCACCCCCAGCTCCTGCAAGCTCCGGGAGCAATGGCAAAGGTGTGCTCACCTTCGCCATCGCTCTCGGACCCTTTCTGGGGGCTGGGGGCGGGGGAAGCTCGGGCTTCCCCCACCCCCAGTCCCGCAAGCTCCGGGAGCCACTCTGGCTCCCATTCTGGGGGCTGGGGTCGGGGGAAGCTCGGGCTTCTCCCGCCCCAGCCCCGCGTCTGGGGGGGGAAAATAATTTTTCCCCCTTTATTTCCCCCCCAAAATCTAGGTGCGTCCTATGGGCCGGTGCGTCCTATAGGGCGAAAAATACGGTAGTCAATATAGGCACAGAGTTAATTTTTTAAACATTTTCTAATGGTGGTGTGCCTCGAGATTTTTTTCATGAAACAAGTGTGCCTTTGCCCAAAAAAGGTTGGGAAACACTGCTTTAGAGTGCCATATGTTTGCATGAAAGATATGAGCAGCGCTAGCAGCTGGATCTTCCTGTGCCTGCAATCTAGATGAACATGTCCTCCTTGCTATCTCGGATCACCCCAAAAGTATGATTTTAAGGTTGCTCAGGTTGAGCATGATAATTTTATTCTCAGGGTTGTGAGTTTGAGCCCCATGTTGGGCAAAAGATTCCTGCCGTGCAGGGGGTTGGACTAGATGACCCTCCTGGTCCCTCCCAACTCTACCATTCTATGATAACCAGCAGAAAGTTTTGCTGTTGTCGAATCTTTTTGATAGAAAATTTATTGGAAATTCCTTACTTGGAATTGCATGCGCATGTGAATCCATTTTAGCCATTTGGTTTCAGTTCAGATTTTCAATGAGGGTCGCAGTGGATCTCTTACCATTCAGTGATGTAGGAATGCCACCAAGAAAGAAGCAGATCCTTGAAAAGTCTTGTGCAGAGCACTCATAGTTTGTGCTCATCATTGCCTTTGCCTCGTTTTCTACCTCTTTAGCATGTACACAGGCAATATTCTGTTCTACTTTAATTACAGATATGTAACAGTCAGTGTTTATGCTCTTGTAGCTGAAATTATTGTTTGAATCATCAAGCAGAAGCTGGCACTGAAGAGACTACTTAATAAGTATACATAGTCGGTCCCAGTATTCCATAAT